GGCTGGTTCTGGAGGTCTTCGGCTGCCAGAGCCCTGGTCGGGGCAGGGAGGGAAACTCAACCCATTCCCCTCCAAGGGACCCCGGTAAGGACAGCCAGGCGCAGGGGCAGGAGACTCTATGTTCCATTAGCTGTTGTTTATGTGGATAATCACTCTCCTTTTTTTTTCTTTTTGGGTCACACCCAGCGATGTACAGAGATTACTCCTGACTCTGCGCTCAGGAATTACTCCTGGAGGTGCTCAGGGAACCATATGGGATGCTGGGAATCGAACCCGGGTTGGCCGCGTGCAAGACAAACGCCCTACCCGCTGTGCTATTGCTCCAGCCCCAATCACTCTCCTTTTAAGACTGAAAGCCAACCTTGCTGGCAATAAAAAAAAAATTTGGTTGTCAATCTTGATTTAAAGAATTATTTGTATGTAAATAAATATATATTAGCACACAAGACTCAAACTCTAACAACATGTTCATGATCTCTAATACAGGGGCTTAGTGGCTCCAAAATGAGATACAACAATTTTCACACACTTTCCTCTAAGGGAACCTTTTTGATCAGCTTTAGTCAATTATTCATAACAAGCAACACAAAATAAGTTACTTAGCATCAGCCTTTGGGGCAGGCTTGGGTGGTGGTGGGAAAACTCGAAATAATGGTGCTGGGAAGGTGTCATGGTGGTGGGATTGGCATTTGTGAATGTTATCAATTACTGTGAGCAACTCTTTGAAAATGAAATTAAAAAAAAAATTGGTTGAAAATGTTCTCCTTCCCATGTTCTCCTTTTCCTCCCTCTCTCTGGCTCCTGACATTTCTAAGTCAGCTGACGGTGACATCAGTGATGGCCGCTCACCTTCGAGTGTTGATCATGGCCTCCTGGTGGGTTGTTATGTTACGGTCATGAAATTCTTAGCTTTATTCCTAGAAGAACGTGGCCTTTTCTTTCATCCGAATTTTTCTAGTACATCTTTTCCTGCCATTTTACTGACCTCTAAAACACAGATGGATCTCAGGATCTCTATGTTTTAGTGTTTCTTGTAAACATCATAAACCTGATTTTGTGGTTTCATTTTATTATTTATTGTGTGTCTACACACGGAGCTTATCCTGGCTCTGCACTCAGGGGTCACTCCTGGAGGGCCTGGGGGACCCTATGGGGTGTCGGGGATTGTACCCAGGTCAGTCATGTACCAGGCAAACACCTCATCCACTGTCCTATCTCACCAGCCCTCTGATTTTGTGATTTTAATCTCGTCTTTTATCGTGACCATCTTTTAAGTTCTACTGTAATAACTCACCTTATTTTTATAACATGTCCTGGTCCAAGAATAAACAAACGAACCAATCTGAACTGTGTCTCCTTTTTCTCCGCTGCATCGAGGACAGTGTCATTGCGGTCGTGACTGTACTCGTTGTTACTTCCATTCATTTCTTTGGTCCTTTTTCTTTAACTTCTTGTAATCATTTTAACCAAATGACAGTTTTCCTGGTTTTATCTCCTGGAATCTTGAAGAGACACAGACGTGTTTCATGCTATGTCTCACTTCTAGTGGTTTCCCCAGAAATGGAAACGTCCGTAAAGCATGAAAGCTGGTATAATAAACTAATAAATATCTTTACCTCCTCCTGATCCTCTGAAAGTGAAATTAAAGCGCCTTAAACAATGTGATTCCACTCTCCCTTGCCAATGTTTGCGTTACTCGCTGGGAGGTCCAAACTCGTGACTCATGACGAACATTACTCAATGCTCAATGTCCCTTGGCGCCACCATATTCCTTATTTGTTCCTGCAACTCTGGCTTTCCTTTTTGCACCAGCGTCTTTCTGCCTGGGTTTTCTGTTTCTCACCCCCTGCCTGGGTGACAGAAAATGCTCTTTGCATCTTGTGGAGGGTGATTCTTGTGTTGCAAAGTCTGGGTCCCTCGGCAAGTGCTTGGAGATCAGTCCTTTGCTCTCGGGGACTTTGTTTTTGCTGATGACAGCCGGGTGCCTGCAAAGTCGATACTTCTTTGAAGGTGATCGATTGCCTTGGCTCTGAGCTGCTTGGAGCGTCCCTGGTCCCCAGCACTGCATTATGGGGTGTCACCCCATAAATGCTCTGCTACTTGGGGTTTGTTGAGCTACTTAAAAAAAATGTGTGTGTGTTTTTTTTTTTAACTCAGGCCCGAGAAGTCCTGGGCCATGGTCTCCGCGATTCCTGCTCTCCTCCCTTCTCTGCCTGCTCCACAAACCCCAGCTCAGCAGAGCCGGAGCTCCTGCTCTCCCCGGAGTCAGGCGCACCCATGCTCCCGGTGCTACCCTCCACGTTCCCAGCTCCCCTTCCCTGCACGCCCTTGCTGTGTCCCTCCTTCTCCTCCCCATTCCAGGTGGCCCCACTTCAGGGCTGCCTTCCAGGATGGGACAGGCGACCCCATTCATGGTCCCTGACGCCGCCCACCCCGCCTGCCAGTCAGCGCCCTGATCTCCATGGGCTACATCCCATCCATCCAGTGTCGGCTGCCCTTGGGTGCGTGGCGGTGACCCAGAAGCAACTGTCCTTCGCAGCCCTGATGGACCATGTTCTTTGGACAGATGGTCAGGGACCCAGATGCAGGTGTGCCGACGCAGGACGTGGGCTTCAGCGTGCTGGCTGGCACAGGGAGGGGGGTGGGCTCCGTATTCTGTGTGTACTTTCCACTTACCCAATGCCTTGCAGTTCGAGGGCCAATGGGGCCGCGGGCAGCTTGCTTTGCATTGGATCAGACACTGAGACATGGAGGTTGAGTTCCACTCTCTGAGTCAGTGGGGTCAGGCTGCGGGAGGGCCCCCAGTTAGTGGGGAGGGGGTTGCTGTCGGGCCCTCCACAGAGAGACCCGAGAGCCCTTTGCGTCTGTGGGTTTGTGGGGTTGGAGAGGCTGGTGCACCCGCTGTGACTGACAAGACTCCACCACAGAACCTGGGCCTCATGGGGCCGGTGATCTCCCTGGATTCTCTGGACATGGGTCCACTTCCCTGCACACACCCTTCCTCTTGTCGGCTTTCCGCACTGGTCATCAGGGAGTAAAGGAGGACACCCCCAGCCACTGCCCATGTCTGGTTCTTTCTGCCCACACGAAGACAGAGGCCGCACCCCCCACCCTCACGGTCAGACCCAGCCGGGTGGGCGCATGTGTTGGGAAGATCCACCTCGGGGTCTGCATGCCAGGGCCCACGCGGGTCCGAAGGTGCCCTATACTGCCCCTGGAGAGCGGCCGGGCTTGGGGGCACCAAGGAAAGACTCAGGGTGGGGTCTATCTGCGGGGGGGGGGGGGTGTCGTGGATTCCAGAGACGGCGCTCAGTGTCCATGGAGGAAGGCCTGGCCTGGCTGGTTCTGATGAAAGCTCCTTCTAAGTTGTGTCTGGGCGCCACATGGACACACCCCGGGCCAGGCCTGAGCTTGGCCGCCTTCGCTGAGTCCTCATTCGGCAGCGGACTGCAAATGACACAGTGACAGCTGGACGATTATGGGCTAGTTCGGGCCTGTCCAGCCCAAAGGGAACGAACGTCAGCAGTGGCCAAGGCCGTGATCTGCTCCTGGCCACGAAGGAAGGCAGCTTCCGGGGCACCAGCTGCCCGCTGGGGGGCGAACACCACGGGGAACTGGGAGAAGCAGGACACGCACCCATCTCAGCCTCCGCCACGTCCACTCGGTGAGACCCCGCTGCACAAGGGCCCAGCCCAAAGCCCGCACATGACCTGCTCGTTGACTGAGGCAGGACATCGGGCCCTCTCCGCTCAAGGCCAGGGGGACACTCCCAACGCCTTTTCGGGGCAGTATCCCTGCCCCGCGTTCCTCCCGACTCCCTCTCTACAAGGCACTCACCCACATCTGTGACATCTGCATCTTCCCTGGAGCTCCTGTTCTTTTGTTTCACGTGGAAACAAAACAATGTCCAAGAAACAGGCGCCCACACTCGTACCCTGAATTGTTCCGCGCAGCCCTGGGTCTCGGCGCTCTTGGCTCGAAGGCCTTCACCCCTCTCAGCCTGGGCCCACGCCCTGCCTCAACCCCCTGGAGCCCACCCCCGCCCACCAGTTGCACCGGCTCTGCCAAGGGGTCTCCTCTCCCCATCAGCCCTCTCTGCCACTCTCTCCCCAGCCGCCCTCCTTCCACCAGAGGCGGTCGCGGCTGGGGACGGTCCCTCTCGGTCCCGCTCACACGCACCTTGTGGTGAAGGCCGGCACAGGCTGGGCGTGTCCCACAGATGCTTGCTCCTCGCTCCCCTGGGGTTCCCCCTGGTGTCATGGAGGGTCTTGTGCCACTGGCCTTGCCCTCCGTCCAGCCCCCATCTCCTCCTGTCAGGACTTCTGTGCTGGCGCCTGCGGGTGGCTTGTTCTTCTTAGGGGGCGCCAGAGCCCGCAGCCTCTCACCCCAAGGCACAGGCTCCCCACCTTCCCGGGAGGCCCTGCTCGCTCTGCCACCTGGGGGTGGGGTCTGGGGTCAAGGGGCAGCATCCAGGGGCTCCTGTGGATGGTGGGGGATGGGGGTCAGTTGGCCTGGGCTCTGCCCTCCACAGGCCTGAACCCCAACTCGGCCCCTTGTAAACAGACCCCACTCTGCCCCCTGCAGACCCCCACTGTGTCCAAGTCCCTTCCACGGGCCTGTCACCCCTGACAGCACGTGCTGGAGACACACTTAGTTGGGGGTGGGAAAGTTGTCGGGAGGCGACGGTAGGAAGGGACTGGTGACAGACTTCAGTAAAGGCCTGTGTCCCTCCCTGTCCCTGCAAGTGTGGGGACTCGGGCTATAAGGGGCCCACGCCCTGCCTCGGTGGGGCCTCCCCTCACTGTCCACTCCTGCCTCGTCTCTGGCTGACCCATCCTGGGCCCCCCACACTCCTGTCCCCAGCCATGCAGAATTGAGACATGCAACAGGGCAGTGCCCGAGGACTCAGGCCAGACCCACAGCCAGCGGGGCACCTGCCACTCACCCCCTCCTGGCCATGGCAGGAAGGAGACAGACACACAGACACATGGACACGGGGGTCTGGGAGGAGGAACCAGGCGCTTTATTGCAAAACTGTCATGAGTTGCGACGTGCTGGTCACAGCACTGAGTTCCAGGGATGGGCCAGCAGGAAGGCCGGAGCTGGCCCAGAGCTGACCAGGGCCCAGAGGCAAAGGCCGAGGCTCCCACTGGCCGTTGAGAACCAGCCTGGATGGCGGCAGCGGCTGCGGAGGCAGGAACAAAAGCCCAGGCCGGCCTCGGGGTGACCGCTGCCCACAGGGGTGGAGCCAGGAGGGCGGCGCGGCTCAGGCATGGACGTCCAGGGCGCGCACGTGCACGCGGGGCAGGCAGAACCAGGCGGGTGGCAGCTCCTGGCTCGCACCACCCTCGTGGAAGCGGATGTGCAGGAAGAAGTCGCCCGTGTAGAGGAAGAGAAGAGCCCCCAGGCAGACCGACTGGCCGGCGGGCTGCACCTGCAAAGGGAGACCAGGGTCAGTCCTGCCGAGGGATCAACCCCCCTCACCAACCCCACCCCCGCACCCCCAGGCCCGGCTTCCAGGAGCCTCCCAGCTCCTCTGGGCCTCGGGCAGGGCCGCGGGTGAGAACGGGCAGGGTCACACAGACCCTTCCCCAGCCTCCCGCCCCCCGGGTCCCGCCCATGCGGACACGCACCTCGTCCAGGTAGAAGGTGCTGGAGCCCACAAAGGAGACGGCGTGACGCAGGTCGTAGTTGTGCACGCCGTTCTGGTGGTCCTGGAAGGGCACCACGCTCAGCGCGAAGGGCCCCACGCAGCGCGGGCTCTGGTTGGTCAGCCGCACCTCCAGGCACACGGGGTCGCCCACCCGGCAGGCCGCCGCCTCGCAGTCACACGGCTTCCCATCCACTAGCACGTCTGTGGGACACGCGCGCAGGACGGTCATGCAGTCACTGCTGCCACGGGCCACCCGGCACCCACCCCCGCGTCTCCTGGTCCACTGGCCCAGCCACGGCCTCCTCCAGCCCACCCGTCTGACCCTACTCCGCCCTCCCCCACTTCTCCGGCCCCTGTGGCCAACCGGCCATCCACACTAGCAGCCCATTCCTCCGTCCCGCCTTCTGTGCACCTAGCAGCTGTCAGTCTGACGGTGTGTCTGTTAATCCATCCGCCTATTCATAAATCATCCTTCCACCCATCCACCAGGCACCCACCTGTCCACCCTCTCAGCATGCCTGTCTCCCCATTGCTCCGTTCCACCCTCATCCACCATAGCCTCCACCCACCACCCCCTGCCTGTCCATCTGTCCCGTCATCGTGCCCATCCACCTACTCGATCACCCATGTCCATCCATTCAGCCGAGACCCCCAGGTGTGACCTGCTGGCCTCGCACTGCCCCGTGTGGCCGGCTGACCAAGTATTGCCACGTGGCTCCCCAGCCCCCTGACCACTGTCTCGGGATGTTCCCAACAAAAGCATGGCAGACCCCCACATGCCCTCCACCCCACCGGCTCCCGGCCAGGTGGGTGGCAGGAACTCCAGGGCGCAGGCTATGGTGGGAGAGAGCTGGCCCAGGGCTGGCCCCGGGTCACTGGGGTGTGGGGGCCCCAGGGGTGGCTGCTGCAGGGTCACAGCCCCGGACGTGTGGGAGGGTGGCAGGCGAGTCCGAGGGACTGTTCAGACGTGAGGAACCAAGGGCAGAGGTGAGACAGGGTCTGGGGACACGGGAGGGGGGCACGGAGTGGGTGGGTGGGAGCAAGCGGCAGAGGGCAGGTCTGAGCCAGCCCCCCCGACGTCCTGACCTTTACACTGGGCCCTGCTTGGGACTGCCACATCTGGGATCACTCAGGGCAGCAAAAGGGGGTCTGTGCTGTCCTCCTCAGGAGACCCCCTGCTGGGGGGCAGGGTCTGTGGACTCAGAGGCCCGAGGCGGCCAAGGACCCCTGCCTGTCTGCAGAGGCGACCCCCCCACTGGCCTCCCTGGGCAGTGCCCGACACAGAGGGGGCAGCCCTGAAGGCTGGAGTCCACCCCCACGCCCCCACTGCAGGGGCCTGAGGCAGCTTCTCGGCATCTCAGAGACAGTCTCACTCCTGGTGGCACTGTCACCTCCCCAGCACAGCGGCCCGTGTCACCTCCCTAGCACAGGGAGAGCCCGTGTCACCTCCCTAGCACTGGGGCCCGTGTCACCTCCCCAGCCCTGGGAGGAAGGCTGTGCCTGGGCGTACACGTGTAATTACCCTCCAGTTGAGAACAGCTCCAGAGAAGCCATTCGGCTCTCTTGGGTAAATAACTTACTTTTACAACTTTCATTAAAGATTAAAGGGAATTAAATTAAAATCCTGGCGTGCTCTGAGGGAGCGCCTGTGTCCTGGCTGCCGTGCCCGGGCCCTCCCTTCCAGCCCCCCAGCACAGCCCTGCAGAAGGGCCGGGGCCGCTGCCTCCAAGTCGGGAAAATACCCACGCAGGGGCTGGGTGAGCCCCCAGGGGAGGGGTCCCCGTGCCTCCCAGCCGAGAGTCCCTTCACCTGCTTCGGGACTGCCACCTTGGTTGGGTTGGGGAAGGGGGATCTCGTGTCAGGGGGCTCAGTATGGAGCAGAGTCCGGGCTCGAACCCGGGGCTTGGGGCAGACCAGTTTACCTGGCACGGGGGGCCCTGCTCACATGTGCCCTTGCACCGAGGGTCTGCCTGCACCTCTGAATAGGATGCTTGAATCGCAGAAGGTTCTGGCTGCAGAGGCCAGCAGGGGACACCCCAGGCCTTTCTTCCTGGGCACCCAGCAGTGAGGAGCAATATGGCCTGGAGGCAGGAGAAAGTGCCCACAAGGTTGAACATCTAACGGGGTCATGCAAGGAGCAGCAGGTGGAGGACCACTGGGTGGGGCCACGCTGTGGGCGTGGCCTTGGGAGGCGGGACCACGTGGCGGGCGGGGATATGGGGGCGGGGCCACGCCCTGGGTGAGCCCTCTGGGGGTGGGGCCATGTGATGGGCGGGGCCTCCAGGCTGTGGGGCTGTGGTGGGCACAGCCCTGGCAGGGGCTCACCAAGTACAGTGGCCCCAGTCTCCTGGAATTGGGGGTCTTCCTTCACCAAGAATATCATGAAAGAAAAATTTAAACGTGATTGGCGTGTGGAGGTGGCCCTGGTCTCTGGCCTCCAGCACCCAGCTGGCCCCTCGTCCCCCACCGGAGCTCACACCAGGGGCCAGTTGATGCCCAGGTTGCTGGCATCGCGCCCACTGGATGCAATTCTTTCCTGAAGCCCTTTTCCTCAACGTCTTTGGACAAGCACTTCAGACAACTCAAGATAAACCAGGAGGAAAAAAAGAACCATAGAGAGACAGAGACAGAGAGAGAGAGTGTGTCATAGCCTAAGCCGCAGGCTGGCAGCGTCATGCCAACATCGTTTTGGAATTTGCAGTGACCGCTCTGTCCCCACAGCATCTCCCCCCATCCCCGACATCCTAAAAGCCGAGATTCCTGGGCCCTGCACGGGTCGACCTGTCCCCACACCCAGGACAGCACGTGGGGGTCCCGCCCTCCTTCCACACTCTCCCAGGAGAGCACGCGGGGGTCCCGCCCTCCTTCGCTGGCGGTGAGCCACCTCCCCCCATGTCCCCTCTCCTTGCCCTTGCAGAGAGGCGCCCGTCACTTGCTCATTCACTCCAACACTGGGACCCCAAGAAAGGCCAACGACCCAGTGGACAGTGGGCAGTGGGAGTGCTCCTGGGGACAGGGGTTGAGGCTGGGGGGACGAGAAACTTGTGGAGAGAATATGGTCATGTGGGTGCAAGGAGCGGTGAGGGCAGCCACAGCCCAGAAGGCTCGGCTGGCCCCCACGTCGGTGGGTCGCTGACCGTACTCTGCTGCCGAGGTGCCGGAGCTGCTGCCCAGAGGGAAGCCAGGCCAGTGAGATCAGAGTAGACAGGCCCGAGGCTGCCCCCAGATGGGCCGCCCCCGCCCCAGGCATCCCCCAGTCCGGCGCCCTCGAGGTCTCAGTGTCAGGGACAAGCTGGCAGAACCAAGGGGCGGACGCGCTTGTTTGCCAACTGGTTTCTCATTAACCGAAATAAAAAGGTGAAGACCAAAGCCGTGTCCGGAGAAGCAAAGGGGTGTGTGGGGGTGGGGGGAGGGGATGAGGCGTGGCCATGGCCTTGGGGGGACTGGGCACTGACCCCCCACCCAGACACAGTTTCTGATGCCAGAGCCGGGATCCAGGGTCCCGCTGAGGTCCCTCGGGATGGGCAAGACGAGATGAGTGTGACCCCAACAGAGCCCCCTGGGGCCTGGACATCTGCCCCCGTCTGCCCTCAGCATGGGGCACGCTTCCCCCACAGCCGGGGCTCCAGCCTGGGTGCAGAGGCTCGGGGTGTGCACCCCAAGTCCCCGGGCCTGCCCTTTGCACCCCAGCTCCCCCCACTGGGCCCCTGAGAAAGTTCTTCTGCCGCCTCCTCTCAGGGGAGCCCAGGCCATGCTAGGGGTCAACCGGGTGGGCTGCATGCCGGGCCACGCCTCACCCCCACACTCCCTCCCCGCACCAGCGTGGCCTCGCTCACTGCCCAGCCAGTTCTCGGACACTGTGACTTCGGGCAAAGTGACCCCGAGGAGCTGAACCGGCCACGCACACAGACTCGCTGACAGAGCAGGGGCTGTCCGCCTGACCTGGACGGAAAATGCTCCCCAACTTGGCAATGTCCACGCACGCACGCACGCACGCACGCACTCATTCACTTGCTCTTCACGGATTCATTCATTCACTCGTTCACTCACTCCGTGGCCGGCACTCCACGGGAGGGCAGGACCGTGGTCCCCCTGGGGGCAGTTCACCCCATGGGAGGTGCTGGGGTCCCTGCAAGCCTGGGGAGGGGAGCTGGGGGGGGGGGTAGCAGGGGCTGGGCGGGCCGTTCCCAAAGGGACAGGTGTGTGGGGGTGGGCTCCTGGCCCCCACTGGGGATGCGACTGCCCGGCTGGCCGTGAGGTCCTGTGTATTCACAGGACCTGCAGCAGCAAGAGAGAGGGCCAGAGAGCAGGAGACGTTGCATCAGCGGGGGGTGGCGGGTGGGGGGGAGATGTTCACAGCCCAGCCAGGCACCAGGACCCCAAACCAAGCAGAAAGGGAGAAACGCACCCCAGGGCGGTGTGCGAGGGGGGGGTCATAAGGCAGCAAAGTGTGGGGCCCTGAGAGGTGAGACACCACTGAAGGGGGCCTGACAGCCTCCGGCCAGCACCCAAGGGTGGGGTGACTGGCGAGCCACTGAGATGGAGCCGGGAGTCCAGGAGATGGGGGCGCTGAGACTTTGCTGGGTTGGGGGAATGAGCACAGAGATCTTGGCCCACCTCAGTCTACGGGCACTAAAAGGATCCAGGCTGGGTGACGGGCACAGAGCCTGGTACCCTACAGACAGGAACAGTGCCAGCCCGCCCCTCCCCAGAGAACAGTGCCAGCCCCACCCCCACAGAGAGCAGAAAAGCAACTTCCCGACATGCTCTCAGAGGCAGGAATAATCTGTCCTTGCCAGAGCAATGGTCTGGTCCTGCCTGAGAAATCTTGAAAGCAAATACCAAAATGACATGATTATTCCTAAACACAACTTCGCCCCAAATTCTCAGCACTGTTCGTGTCTGGCATCCAGCAAGGTAAGTGTGATGGTGCCCAGTACCCACTGACCAGGCATGCAGAGAACCATGACACACACTTATACACACACACACACACACACACACACACATGGTTACACATGCACTTTCACACACACAGACTCTCACAATACGCACACATCATCACACACACAATTCACAAACACACACAGTCATACAGTCACACAGTGCATACCTACTGGCCACACCACATGCAAGCACTCACAAACGTATAGGCCCACACCCACACACACAGATCCACACACATCACATGTGCATGGACA